ATTCAAGCAAGGAAGATATTGACCTGTCTGTCTGTCTATCAAGATCAGCAACCAGTTTTTGGGTGACAYACTGTACAATATGTACATGTACGACTGTTAATTACAGGGAGTCACAAGATTGCTTGCAATTCACTCTTATTTTCACTATATTTATTATTAACATCTTAGYAACATAAATATAACTGTGAATACATGCACATGATTGCATCATTTATTATTTGTTATTTTATTGATTYAATTATTTTGTTGTTTTGTTCCTGGATGACTGGGGATTCTTTAAACACAGAATTCTGATATATGTTAAATTCCAACATTAGAGTTGTAAATTTACTTAACTTGTGAAAGAATAGTGAGACTTATAGTTGGTATTACACTCTGCATCTAATGTTATCTTATTTTTAATACTGACTAAATTTTCATTTTCATTCCATGGTCAAAGAAAGAAAACTCAACTGAGGAATTCTTTATATTGACTTATACAAATGTAAGTAGAGTGCATAAACATTATAAAAAGTATGAAAAGTAYAAAGCAAATAGTGCTAAACAGGGAAATAGAGTAGACTAGACAGTAGACAACAATGCAATATCAAATTTAGTCCAATTGTTAAACTTGCACTATTGTATCCATTACTAAATTTTTTCAATCCATAGTTTCAGTGTTTGAAATCTCGTTTAATAAAAATTCGTTATGAACTAATTTTACAATGTTAAACACGCAACTGTACATCTTCATTGATGGCACTCTGCCCCTAGGAAATCCGACATTTATACAGGTGCTGCGATGGCCTTTAATATAGCTATGATCTGACTCGCTAAAATAGCGTATTCACCCAAAATCGTCTGTTCTACTATAMAAAGACTGCATTATAATCAACATAATAAATTAAAGAAATTTAAAAGGTAGTAAGAATATTGTAAAAATTGTACTACATTCAAAAAATAAGTCAATTCACATTGGAATTTTAGCACGCACGCATTTATGTTTGTCTGAAAGCTCCGTTGCAAAACCCTAAATAATACGAATTTGGTGCTCTAAGCAGGATAGTAATTAAGATGTAGCGCAAATATTATTTAGGTATTTAACTAATTCTACCTACCAATTTCTGGCTAGCTTTTTGTAAGCTTTTTTGATCGTCTCCTGCGATGCTGAGCGAGAAACACCAAGCACTTTGTAGGGATCTTGCTTCTCTTCTGATTCCGATTTTACATGATCATTGAGTAGAAATAAAAGAATTATTATAATAGATATTCTTAATACCATCTTATTGTGTTTTGACCACAATCTTGCCAAAAAATATTCGCTCAGAAATTCGGCATTTTTTTTCTCATTCAAAACAAAATGACAATGAAACTAATTCTTCTCATGGGCAAAGCCGCTGGACAAATAAATATGTGATACGCTTGCGTTGCATTCTGGGTAAGCAAAGATAAAACACTTTTTATTCTTTGTATTTTATTATATTTTTTCTTGGACATTCTGACGAAGGAAAGCATATATTATTTTCACATTTAAATCAATCAAATACTTAGCATTTTAATTTTTTATCAGTTAGTATTTTTCTCTATCATAATCAGCCAATARAATTAACTTAACGCTGTAAGCACAGGGCTGAGTTTTTCAAGCCAAAGTAGTTTTATTGCTGTTCTAAAACTAATTATTGAAAATAATTTTATTATTAGGGTGTTGTGTCAGCGGTAATTAAGTGTTAATGTATGCGTGTTCTGGCTGAAGAGGAAGTGACCACGTGACCAAGTGTGTTCGCCATATTCTCCATTACTGGCACAGTAAATCAGCGGGATTTGAACGAGAATTTCTTCAACAAACAGGTACGGTACAAACGGTACAAACTTAGTTTTATCCCCCTAAATGCATTCCATGTATAGTCTATCTTTTGCAAGCTTTAAATGCAGAAAATTGGTCAATTCTAGATGTCTGTAAGCGCCATTTTTGCGACCAGTGCTAGCTGAATTTCATAAATTTTTGCCATCGCACACTCGACTCAATCAAAATAGAGCGAGTTTTAAACCTCAGGTAGACCATTGCGGCTGAGTTGCCTCTTACTCTTTGCAGTTCAGTCTTGTAAGTCGTTGAAGCAAACTGTTAAAATGTCCTTCTAATTATCTCATTTGGTTTGATTTGCAGATAATGTCGGAAACGCTCACTTTTGGACCTCAGTGGTAAGAACTACATGTACTACGTTCGTCTGTAAACATCATCTGTTGTGCTCGTCACAGTAAAGCAGTCCAGCTGCCTTGAGCGCAAGCCTTTAC